GCAGGTACCTCGCCGCCACCGCAGACATCGGCCTCTTCGAGCACACGCTCTCCACAGACCTCCTCAACCATTTGGTCTTCGTCCAGAAGGTCTTTATGAAGGTCAGTTTCTTATCAAGACGAATTAATGTTTAAGTTTCCGATCGTGACAGCTTTCTAATTTAATATAATATTTCCAGGAAGTAAACGAAGTAGTACAGAAGGTGTACGGCGGTGAGAAGCCCGTGCCGCTGTGGAATGAAGAGGAAGCGTCGTCCTCCGCGCTTAGCAGGATATTATTCTCACTTATTATAAGGATCAAGGTAATTTGAGAGTAATAATTTATATTGCATAATCTATATTTCTGATACGCAAGAGTTTTAATGATCTGTGTGTATTATCAGCGCATTCAACTGACGGCGACGACGCCGAGCAGCTCCGCGGTGCGTCTAGAAACGGGCGCTGTGGAGTTCGAGCTATCCAACCGCGTGCAGAACGTGCCCGCCGCCGCCGCCGCGCCGCACGACCTGCGCCTGTTCGCACGCGCGCAGGTACTGCACGCTGACCACGCCCCCCACCCGCCCACAGACATACGTCAGTACTTCAAAAGTAAAGAAACATTTTTTTAGGTGGACGTTAACCTGAGTCTAGGACAACTGATCCGCAATGCGATGTTCGAAGAAGCAGAGCCGGAATTCCAGCAATATGCATTCTTTAACACCAGAATATGTAAGTATTGTTATAATTTTTTGAATGAATAGTACTCAATTAGATAAAAATAAACAGACCTTACTATTATAATCTTGTTCGACAGCAATGCGCAACGCGTTCCAAGAAGAGCTGAGCAGACAGGAGGAGCTCGGGGAAGAGAAGGAGGTGGTGCTGATCACGCTGAAGCGGCCGCTGGTGTACGTGCAGCCGGTCGCCGTGGACAAGGCCATCCTCGTCTGGCTCAACTACAAGAACGCCTACGAGTACTGGAACGAGAAGCGGCTCAACCTCAACAAGGAGGTGCTCACTGCTACACAACAGGTCTTCGAGAAGGTAACTCACTTCTGGTAGTAGTATTTTAAATAGTTTAAAGCTATTTACTGATTGCTTTTTATATCACAGGTGCAGTTAACATCGCAGATCACGACTCCACATCTCAGCACCCTATTCCTGCAACTCAATGTCGATGACATCGGCATCTGTCTGCCTCTCAACCAACCTCCACTTGTCAGTATACCTTCCTGATATCCTTTATAGTTGCTGCAGCATCTCTTGACTGGTTATTACAATACCTGCATACATGCAGGCGACATGGGGACGCGGCGCGTGCGAGCAGGACAGCCGCGGCGCTGTCGTCGTCACTCTAGAGAGCACCAGCATCTCCGCCTGCAGCTCAGGATCACTCGTCAGCAAGGTAAAAAGTTAATTATTTGGTTGTTAGTTATTTTCTTAAAATATTAATCATATTGCATTGTCTGTAGGGTCGATTTGTGGGTCTATGTCTGCGGTTTGCGGAGGACTTTGAGGCGTCACTAGACGACTGGAAGCCGGAGCCGGCGGAGGCCACCACCAACGTGTGCTGCGTCTCTGAAGGGACATACGAGGTCTGCAGCCGAACCACCGCGGCCAAGCACAATGGTAACAGACACTATCTTCAATAAAAACTAGCTTGTGTTACGTATTGTGTTACGTAAATAATGTAAAACGATTGTTTTGTTGCAGAGAATGCGAAGTGGTTCCTGAACGTCTCGTGGCAGATGGAGGGCGTGGACATCCACCTGGATGTCAGTGTGGGCAAGCAGCTCTCCGCCCTCGGACACACACTTACCATGCTCACAGGTACATTATCGCATCTCCTCTTGTATCAATCATATGTAATTTGTTTAAATATGTTTTTTTATGTTTTTTAAAGGATTCGAAGAGGAAGACCCGTTCCCGAAGATGGATCCTTACGAAAGCGACTTAGACGACGAGGCCGATAACAGCAAAGGCTCTCAGGTATACTAATAATTATATTTTTAGATGTTTCGATTCCAAATGATTTTAAAAAATTATACTCGGAAGGCCATATTTACATTTTGACATTATTTGTTAATTACTTTAAAACTCAAGTAAGACAACAATGTAAAGATATCGAACGTTCCGTAGTGACGACTAGAAATGTACTGAGCTCCTGAGCGACTGACGGCCAGAGAGCTTGTTAGCGACCGAGCGACTGAGAGACTAAGGGGCGATGCACTCCTTGCAAAGACTTTTATAAAACTACCCCCCACCATTCCTTCCGTTTTCCAACATTTCCTAACAATATATAGTGAGGTATTGTATGTACACGTATCTGTATTGTTTAAGGAGAGCATAGTGTACCGGCGCAAGTACGCGGACCACCTTCCGGCGTTCGTGTTCGACGCCAGCCTCGACAGCAAGAAGCGCTCCAAGCTGATAGAGCAGGAGATGAGC